GTATATGATCCACGATTGAACCTCTCCCAACAACTCGAGTTATTGGGATCAACTGGTTCTTGACACCCACCCCATAAAGCCATGATAAAATACGGCAGAAGCACAGCCGTTGGCGATTAATGGCGCTCGTTAATACCTAACTATGAAAATTGGGTACCGTCCCTAGCCTAAAGACTTGCTGCCGCTGAAATGTCCATTTTTGTAGCCATTAAGAAACACCCATCTCCTCCCCTCAGTAGCCACTTCCCTTTTCTGTATACTCTGTTCCTGCCAAGAAAAACAACAAGGTTCTGCAGATCCTTTTTTCTGAATTTCTTGGATGCTGGTACTCAGGAATCGCCCTATGACGAGTGACGATCAAGTCAGTGAGAGTCTTTTTTTACCAAGAGGAGGGGGAGAGAGAGAGAAGGAGAGTGTAAAGACTAAACAGAATTTGTATGAACTCTATCTTCAACAGATTGGACTGAGATAGAGAAATTGGTCTTCAGTTAGAACTAGAGCTGTCAAAATGTAACCCGACCCGAGTAACCAGCCCGATCAACCCGACTCGCAACCCGCCCGCAACCCGATTTGACTAAAAGTCAATGACCCGTAACCCGCCCGACCCGCAACCCGATCGACCCGCAACCCGACCAACCCGCAACCCGATCAACCCGCAACCCGACCAACCCGCAACCCAATCGACCCGTAACCCGATTAACCCAAAACCAGACCAACCCGCAACCCGACTAACCCGAACCCATAACCCGACCAACCCGCAGCCCGACTATAATAGAAGGAATTCGATGAAGATAAACCAAAAGTTGACATTTGAAATTCTAGTTTACTAAAGTCTTATCATTACATCATCAATTATTGACTTACCACTAGGCCAAACCCTTGTTCGTTTTGTGATAGTCTTTGCAATTCAAGGTTCTCGCCTAAACTTGACTTAATTAAACTTGGTTGCAACTTGCAACATTTATTTCTAAATAAGAAATCATTGAGACACTTGAATCAAAATCTAACTTACAATATGTATTTATAAATAATAAATCATTGAGACACTTGAATCGAAATCTAAAATGATTTCGGGTAAGGAATCTTAGGATGAGGACTTATGTTTTTCGCAATAATATAAATCTAAAATTGACATAACCTACGTTCTACCAACAATTTCATGACATGTAACAAGAGTTTAGGGTTTAAAGTTAATGCATAGGGTATACGGTCATGGTTTAGAGTTAGGAGGATTAGGGCGTATGTTCTTCACAATAATCAAATATAAAATTGAATTAACTTACATTTTTCACATAACGTACGTTCTACCAACAATTTCGTAACATATAACTATAGTTCATGGTTTAAAGTTAGTGTATAGGGTATATGGTCATGGTTTAGTGTCTTTTTAAGCTAAAAACATAAAGAAACCTAAAATAAAAGAACATAGGATGCTCATATGGATGGTTTGTTATGAACCTAAAATCATAGGCATACAATAAATATTTATTGTAATTTACATCAACCACCCAACAACACCCTCTCAACTTCCCCTCCACGTCAATGTACATATACATGTCTTTCCACCACAAAAACACAAGTCCTCCAAAAGCAACAACAATCATCCAAATTGATAGGAACAAAGAGCTTTGCCACTAAAAGTCACTCTACGTTACCTTCAATGTAGATAGCAGCAGATTGATGTCAGCTAACAAGTACAAGAAACTAACAGCTCTTCGAACAAAAGTGTGCTGCAGCACTTACCATTCTGTCAAAGCTGGCTCGACCTGTCCCCAAGTCCCAACTATCTGGTACAAGAATAGACGGATTCCATCATCCAATACTATTTTGTTTCCATGTTTACCTGGTTACCACAGAGCAAAGAGTTACAACCCAAAAATGCAGCAGCCGAGCTCAACAATGGAAGAGACTCAAAAGTTGTATTGTGAAGCTGCATTATCATTGGATTCCTCAAATCCCCATCTCGGAGTTCCTTTACTGTATGAGGGCATTGTCCAAGCAACGGGGAACTTCAACAAGAGGAACTGCAATGGCAACGGTGGCTTCTCTGCTATTACTCTGCTGCTGCCTGCTCTGTTGTTTGGTGAGGAAAGCATTTTCTACCACATCGTTGGTAGAAGATAAATTCCACTCTTCCCCAACTATATAATAATGAGTGATTTTCTTCATTTGGGGCAAGTCCAGAGCAATTCCAAGAAGTGGCCCTTACAAGAGGCTGCAATTTTGGTTTTTTTCTGGCCCAATAATGGCTCTTGTGGGTCTACTATTGGGCATAGTATGTTGGGCTTAATGAGCTTGTTTTTTTAGCTATAATCAAGCTGAGATCAAGCTCGAGTTGAGAAAATCTCTGTAAAGCTCGAGCCTGAGCTAAGTAAAAGCTTGGCCCAGTTTAGCTATAATCACGGGAAATTATTTATCAGTTTTTTAGTCTTCATTTTCCGTGATTAATCACGGTAATTCGTGTGAACTTTTAAGAATTTCTTTATAAATTATTTCTTTCAATTTTATGAGGGATAAATTCTTTTTTCTTAAGATGTATTTTGGTTCCAAAATTTTTATTTTAGGTAGAATTGGCTCCAAATTTTCATTTGCTCCAGCGACAACGTAACCGCCTATTTTCTAAAATTTGACCGCCAAGTGCAAAAGAGACTTTGGTTCCAAATATTCTTTGGTATTTGGCTCCAAAATTTTCATTTTTGGTAGAATTGGCTCCAAGTTTTTATTTGCTCCAGCGGCAAAGTAGCTGCCTCTTTTCAAAAAATTTGGCCACAAAGCGCAAAAAAGGAAAAACCTTAGCTCTCAAAAAATTTGGCCCGCAAGCCTCCAAATTCCAAACACACACTCGCTCTTTCTCTCTCTTTCTCTCTTTCTCCCTTCCCTGTACCTATCCTCAACTCAGCATGAAGATTTGAGAGTTTATTGGTATTTAAGCTAGTTTATAAATCTTGTATCAGCATGATGATTTGGATAATTCTAGATGATTTCAATTTTGCTGGTGTTCATGCTACAAGAAAGATTATTTTCAATTGTGTTGATATTTGCTTTATTGACACTAATCTTATAACTTTGAGTAGTGATTCCTTTTTTTTTTACAAGTATTGTGCTAGCTTCATATAGTTACGATTTACGACTTACTAGTAATCACTAAAAACTAACGCGATGTTCTGGTCTGTAAAACCCGTAACCCGAACCGCCCGACCCGCAACCCGATTAACCCGCACCCGATTGACCCGTAACCCGATTGGCCCGCAGCCCGATTGACCCGTAACCCGAGTAACCCGCAACCCGAACCCGATCAACCCGCAACCCGAACCCGATCAACCCGCAACCCGATCGACCCGCAACCCGACCAACCCGCAACCCGAATGAACCCCGCCCGATTGACACCTCTAGTTAGAACCAACAGAGGAGAGAAGGGTTTTTGTCCTAATCTCCATTTTCGATCGTGACATCACTTTTCCTTTGTTTTGTGCTTGTTCATTGAGTCCTAAACACATACCAGAGAAGAGACAATGAAGCCACTTGGAGCTATGCCGTCCGAATAATGATCTCCTCCACGTACCTACATCATTGAAATCCCCACGTTCCACCATCCAAACTACTTCACTACATCTTCCAATTACCTATGACACCATCACATTTCCTTTTTTGGAATATGATTCATTAACATCGACCCAACCTTGTTTGAGAGTCCTAGTCTATTTGTATGGGGAAATCCTAAAATGCTTGCTAAAGTTGGGGGAAAAAAAGAATTATACAATACAAAACTTTTCAAAATATTTCTCAAACCACCAGAGTTTGAGGTTGTTCGCTAGATAGTTAAGCGAACTATCCGGTAGATTAACGAACAAGGGCTTGTTCTAATAGTAATACCACTAGTATTTAACTTGGAGGTCACAGGTTGGATCCCTTAAATAGTACCGAAATAATAAAAACCTGTATCATTCTTATGCAGGGAAAAAAACTATCTAAGTAGATCATGGGAGAGAAAAAAAGAAATGCATTTTTCGTTGAAATATGAATCGACCCCTTACACCCGTTGTTTTGGTCTGCTGCCAAGCAAGGCGAACAACTATAGTTCGATGTCAAGTAAAGCGATCAATGGTGGATTGTTGGTAAGTAAAGCAAACTACGTTCAATAATTTATGTGTGATCGCTTTCCCACAAACATGCTTCAGGATATGGTTCAGGGATAGAAATTCTCAGTTGAAATGGATCGTTGGAGTCGTCAGTCATCCATTTTTGTTCGCCTGTTTATTCATCAATCTAATAATATTTCGGGTTTGTTTACACTTTACAGCAAACCACTTACCAGTAGAGGTGGCAATTGGATCGGATTCGTGGATTGGATTCGTGGCTCCATGGATCAAATGGATTGGATCCAATGGATTGGTGGATTCATGGATTGGATCCAATGGATTGGTGGATTGATCCATTAATCCAAATAGCATCCAAGGCTTGGACCAAAATGTAAATTTTGAAAAGTTTAGGTACTTAAATGTCATAATGAAAAATTTTAGGTACCAAAACGTAATTTTCCAATGATATTTTTCGTATAAAAAATAAATTTTAGGTACCAAAATGTAAAATATAAAAAATATAGGTACCAAATCGTAATTTGCCATTTGGATCCATGGATTGATCCATGAATCCACCAATCCAATTGGATTTGGATCAAATAGATTGGATTTAAATGGATTGGATTAGGTGGATAATTTGGTGGATGGATTGGATTGGATTCATGGATTTGGATCCTAATTGCCACCTCTACTTACCAGTTTGCTTGAATGCCCAGCCAGCGAACCGCCGCAAAGTCTACTAGTTTGAGAAATAATTTTGTAAGTATCGTATTGGGGACTTATATTTTCAACACTTTTATTACTAGGGACTTTTTCCATGGTAAGAGAAACTCTGCTTCATAAAAAGCGAAATAATCAACAGGCCACAAACCTCACTGAAAAGAACTTGCTTACCCCACAATTCCTCTGTTTCTCAAAGCGATGTCGACCACTCTGTTTTTCTTCTTCTTCTTCTTCTCCCACTCATCCATCTGGGATTTCGCCATTGCCTTACTCTCCCTCTTCATCTTCTGCTCCATCCGCGAGCGAATCACAAACAAAGGCCCCATGCTATGGCCAGTCCTCGGAATAATCCCGACCCTTCTCACCAACATTAACGACGTCTACACTTTCGTCACTAATTCCATGAACAGAGCCGGCGGGACTTTCGCCCACAGAGGAATGTGGATGGGAGGCGCCCATGGAGTCGTCACTTCAAACCCTTCCAACATCGAACACATGCTGAAAACCAACTTCAGAAACTACCCGAAAGGCCGTTACTTCCGCGAAAGGTTCAATGATCTGCTCGGTGATGGCATCTTTAACGCCGATGGTCAGTCCTGGAAGGAACAGAGAAAGGTAGCTAAATCCGAAATGCATTCCCCTCGATTCGTCGAATATTCGTACAAATCCATGGTGCATTTGGTCCAAAACAAGCTGATTCAAGTCATGGAGGGGAAGTTGAAGTCAGGGGAGAGCTTTGACCTTCAGGAATTGTTGTTGAAACTCACATTCGACAACATTTGCTCTGTTGCGTTTGGCGTTGACCCTGAATGCCTGACTTCCCCTGAATTGAACCCTTTCGCGAGGGCTTTCGAGGAAGCAACGGAGTTGACTTTGGTCAGATTTCTGGTGCCACCTTTCGTATGGAAGCCGATGAAGTGGTTCTTGATCGGGTACGAGAGGAAGTTGAAGCAAGCTGTGGAGGTTGTTCATGGGTTTGCCGATGAGATCGTGAGGGAAAGGAAGGAGAAGCTTCGCAAAGACGGGAACTTGGATGGCGAATTCGATCTTCTCTCGAGGGTTATGCAGAGGAGTCATCGAGGTCCCGACGAGGTTTCGGATGAGTACTTGAGGGATTTCTGTGTGAGTTTCATTCTGGCTGGAAGGGACACAACTTCGGTTGGCCTGGCATGGTTCTTCTGGCTGCTGAGCAGGAATCCTGAAGTGGAAAGGATTGTTGTTGATGAGATCAACAGGGTTGTTGGCAGTCGACGTGAGGGTGAAAAGCATGATGGTTGTTTAAGAGATGAAGAATTGAAGGAGATGGTTTATTTGGAGGCAGCATTGTCGGAAAGTTTAAGGTTGTACCCTCCTGTGCCGACTGAGATGAAGGAAGTGATGGAAGATGATGTGCTTCCTGATGGATCGATGGTGAAGAAGGGTGGTCGAGTTTTTTACTGCATGTTCTCGACCGCAAGGTAAGTACAGTCGAAATTTTGCTTATCACGTGTCATATGATCATCGATCATTGTTGTATTTTTCTCTCGTGGATAGTTCTGTTACAATGTGATGTACATATTTGATTGTTCATTATTGAATTTGCACTTTGGATTGGATCTTGATCACATTTTTTAATTGACTGCTAGGATGGAATCCTTGTGGGGGGAGGATTGCTTGGAGTTCAAGCCAGAGAGATGGATCAAAGACGGGAGGGTTGTGAGTGAGAACCAGTTCAAGTATGCAGTGTTCAATGCCGGTCCAAGGATGTGTTTGGGGAAGAAATTTGCCTACACACAGATGAAGATGGTGGCTGCTTCAGTCTTGTTGAGGTTCTCTGTTGAAGTTGTTGATGGGCAGTGTGTTGTTCCTAAGGTGACAACCACACTTTACATGAAGCATGGACTGTTGGTGAAGCTTAAGCCAAGGGGAATTTGTTAAGTTAAGATAATGTAGCTGTTATGTTTGTGAGGTGAGGTGAGGTGAGGTGAGGTGAGGTTACTAGTTCAACGTAAGGGTTGGGTGAGATGAATAGAATAGGTAGTGTTATTAATTGGTGGTAGTGGGTGGCTAGCGATCAGCACCTTAGTGGTTAGTCTCCCATTTTGCTATCCTACATGCATGTATTAAGTACGAACTTTCCTAATTCTAAGTTGGATGACTTCGCCTCATTAATTGGACGTTAGTTGTGCTTGTGCTTAGGGGTCTGTAGTTGGAAGATTTGAAATTAACGGGCAAGTTAGAGTGCTATCTATAGTAGTTAGCATTATGTTAACTACTCTAAATACTATCTATTATATTTATGTTGATTTTTTCTCCCAAAATCACTCGTATTAACTAGAAACCAGCCAAATACAAGGAAAATTAAAAAAAAAATAGGCAAAATACATCTGTATAGCCAAAACTTTGACCGTTTAGTAAGATATAGCCACTTTCGGCGAAATACCAAAAATAGCCATTTCCATTCAATTCTTTAACGGCGTCAATTAACATGCTGATTGGACTAACGGAAAAGCCGACTTGTCAACTTTTTGGTCAATACCAATATGAGGTGGAATTAATTCAAAAAATAAAAATAAAGTATTAAACATTTTTTTTATTTACTCCCTGCCCTCTCTGTTCTTTCCCCTTGCATTCCCCCAGGTCCATCCGCCGCTCATCTCATCGCTGAAAATCTCCCTCCCCGCAACTAACCCCTCCACCATGCATCTTTCCTCGTTAGGGTTCCCACTATTTATCGGGCGGTGATGGATCTGAGCTAAGAGAAATCCAGTTAACAGCGGGCGAGATATGAAGTACTCAATTCTGGCACAAGTCCAACACGGAAATCGAAACGAAACACGAAGGGGTAAGAGGCGGTTCCTCAACGGCGGTGGTGAGTTCGAAACAGATGGAGAATTAAGACATGACTTAATTAGCATAGTTAGTAAATACTCCGTTTAATACACGTATATGTACCCGTACGTACTTTATCCGTTTAAAACTCCCGTATCCGTATGATTGTCAAGCCGTTTCATTTTTTTCCGTTCATTGAATGGCTCCCGTACTAAACACGTATAAAACCCGTATAACACGTTTAATATCCGTATTTAATGAATTAAATTGTGAACTTTACTATTATTTATATATTTATTTATTTTTAAAATAATTACTTTTTATATATTTATTGCTATTAACGTACTATTAAACGTAACTTTAGCTTAGAGACATCGTAAAATACTCGTACGTATTTTTTACGTAACTTTCCCGTACCGTATTTTACTAACTATGTTAATTAGCCTTCTTCAGCATGCTGTTGGAAATAATATAATTTATTTCCTTTGATAATTTTGATGGGCACGTTTATTGGGAGAGTGGGAGGTTTGGGTTTATTATTTGGACAAATGAAGTTGGGAAATGGCTTTTGGGAAAAAAGGAGGCGGCAGAGAGAGCTAGAATAGGAAGGGGTTTTTTTATTTCTTCTTTGCTTCTTTCTTTTTGCTCTGCTCTCTTCTTACAACATCCAAGCCTATTTATAGGCTCCAATTACACAAAATATCACAAGCCACCGCCTAACACTTGTGGCTTCCATTTTTTTTTTCATTAATTTAATATCTAATAATTCAACTAACAACTAACCACAATTAACACATCTTCCACACCATTCCATATTCATCCAGTACGTGTAGCTTCTAGGAGTTTCTTTTATTAATTAAACTTTAATTTCAACACTCCCCCTTAAAGTTTAATTAGTCGTAACTCTGAGTAGCGTCCTCAGTTTGACGAATACGTCTTGCTTCAACGGCTTCGTGAAAATATCAGCAATCTGGTCTTCAGTCTTCACATACTTTAGCATCACTTCTTTCTGCTCCACGCATTCTCTCAAAAAATGATATCTTGTATCAATGTGCTTACTGTGATCATGAAACACCGAATTCTTTGCTAATGCCAGGGCAGATTTGTTATCCACATAAATCCCAGTTGACTCTTCTTGTGATATGTTTAACTCCTTCAGCAATTTTCTCAACCATATAGCATGACACGCACACGATGTCGCAGCAACATACTCAGCTTCACAAGTAGATAGCGTCACAATAGCTTGCTTCTTTGAACTCCATATGAAAGCTGTATCTCCCAGGAAAAATACGAATCCGGTGGTGCTCTTGCGATCATCCACGTCTTCTGCCCAATCACTATCGCAGTATCCAACCAATTTGAAATTTTCCGACTTAGTGTAGAGCAAACCATGATCGATTGTACCTTTTATGTAGCGCAATATCCTCTTGGCAGCATTCCAGTGTGACATAGTTGGTGCCTCCATGTATCTGCTTACTAATCCAACTGCGTAGAGAATATCTGGTCTGGTACAAGTTAAATATCTCAGACTTCCCACGAGACTTCTAAACTCTGTTGAGTTTACCTTCTCTCCTTTATCATCCTTGGATAACTTTAGTCCGCACTCGGCTGGTGTGCTCACAGGATTACAATTCTCCATCTTAAACTTCTTCAGGACTTCTTTGGCGAATCCATTCTGTGAGATGAAAATTCCTTCCTCCTTTTGACTTACTTCATTTCCGAGATAGTATGACATTAGTCCGATGTCTGTCATCTCGAACTCACGAACCATTAGTCCGATGTATAGTGCATGCTCATGTGGGCATTTGCTGAACCCATTTTCCTGAAAATACTTGTCAATTCTGCTATTCCATGCTCTCGGTGCTTGTTTCAGACCATACAGTGTCTTTTTCAGCTTCAACACCTTATCTTCTTGGCCTTCGACGATATATCCAGGGGGTTGCTCAATATAGATATCTTCCTCGAGATATCCATTCAGAAAAGCTGACTTCACATCCATCTGATGTATCTTCCATCCATTTTGAGCAGCGAGAGATATCACCATCCTGATACTCTCCATTCTCGCCACGGGAGCAAATACTTCATTGTAGTCAATGCCTGGTCTCTGACTGTATCCTTTTGCCACCAACCTTGCTTTGTGTCTGACGACTTCTCCTTTAGCATTTTTCTTGGCTTTGAATACCCACTTCACACCGATGGGCTTCTGGTTCTCAGGTAGCGAAACAAGCTCCCAAGTCTTGTTCTTCACAATTGCTCCAATTTCTTCATCCATAGCTTTCTTCCATTTTTCATCCTTCATGGCTTCTTCAGCATCCACTGGTTCATCATCAATGAAATGACAGTAGAGTGTCAATTCATCACCTTTAATGGTTGTCGTTTCTTCATAAATTTTTTCAAGTCTTCTATACTTCTGTGGCCTTTCTCGGGGACTTTCACTCGATTCTCCTTCTGGGCTAGCAGGCTCTCTGTGACTGGGTGGACTTGTCACAGGTGTAGCTGTATCTGGTTCATCATCACTTTCATCCATAGTGAATGGATAAAAAGTATAATTCTTCTTTGCTTCTGTAGTCCAATCCCATGTTGCTTTTTCATCAACCACCACGTCTCTGCTGATGATCAACTTCTCTTCCACGGGATCAAACATCTTGTAACCTTTTGAGTGTTCTGAGTATCCCAGGAATATGTACTTTTTGCTTTTTTCATCCAACTTCTTCCTTTCTTGATCCGGTACGTGCACATATCCGACACTTCCAAAGACTCGGAGATGAGAGATTGTGGGTTTCCTTCCACTCCATGCTTCTTGGGGTGTTTGATTCCAAACACTCTTTGTTGGTGACCTGTTCAGCAGGTAGACTGCACAATCAACAGCTTCAGCCCATAGCTCCTTTGGCATGTTCTTGCTCTTCATCATGCTTCTCGCCATGTTGAGTACAGTTCTGTTCTTCCTCTCAACAACTCCATTCTGCTGAGGATATCGTGGGACTGTGAGAAACCTACGAATTCCTTGATATTCACAGAACCTTCTGAACTTCTTCAGCATAAATTCTCCACCTCTATCTGATCTCATTGCTTTGATGTAGCGGCCACTTTCATTCTCCACCATCATCTTGAACTTCTTGAAAGCTTCAAATGTATCTGACTTCTGCTTTAAGAAGTAAACCCATGTTTTTCTACTGTAGTCGTCAATGAACAATAGAAAATATTTATTCTTTCCGAACGATGTTGGAGTGATCGGTCCACAGAGATCTGCATGGACGAGCTCAAGTGGTGCTTTAGCTCGTGACAGGGACTCCTTCGGGAAACTTGCCCTGAATTGCTTCCCAACTAAGCATCCTTCACACAACTGGTCTGGATGATTGATTACTGGCAGGCCATTCACCATCCTCTTCTGACCCAGTAACTTTAGGCCTCCAAAATTCAGATGGCCATACCTCAGATGCCACAGCCATGTAGTGTCCTTCACGCATGCTTTCAAACACTTCACCATTTCAGTCTGAATGTTCAGGGTAAACATTCTGTTTCTCGACATTGGGACTCTGGCCAACAACTGTTTCTTCTCATTTAGCAGCTCCAATTGACGATTCACCATATGGACTTCATAATTCTTCTCCATCAGCTGACCCAGACTCAGGATGTTACTAGTCATGTCTGGGACATAGTACACATCACTGATAAATTGTTGTGAGCCATTCTTGAGCCGGATGAGTATAGTTCCTCTGCCTTTGATAGGAACTTTCGAGGAATCTCCAAATACGACATTTCCTTTCACCGATTCATCCATATCCACGAATATGTTTCTTTTACCGCACATGTGGTTGCTTGCTGCATTATCCAAATACCACATGTTGTCTTTCGGTTTTTCATCTCCTTGATGTGACAACATCAATGTGCCTTTGACTTCCTCTTCTTGCACGTTGTTTGCTGTCTCCTCCACTTCTTTAGGTGAACTCCAACATTCCGATGCATAATGCCCGTACTTCGAGCAATTATAGCACTGGACGTTGGATTTATCACGACTTTCATTTGATCTCCAACTTCCTCTTCCACGTCCACGACCACGACCTCTGCCTCTGGTGGACGTTTCATAATTGTTCGTGGTGAAATTCCCTCCATCTCTGCTTTGATATGCTCCTCGAGCTCTTCCTCTTCCTCTGCCTCTGTAGTTGCCTCTGCCTCGACCTCTGTACTGACCTCCTCCTCGAGCACCTTCTTTCTCCTCAGTGGTAGCTTTTGTAGCTAACACTTGCTCTGACGATTCTTCATTTCTTTTATTTAATCTTTCCTCTCGTGCTTGCAATGAGCCAATGACTTCAT